AAATCCGAGATCCTCTGGCGCCTTGTGCAAGAGAATATAAAAAATAGGTTTGGCTTCAGTGGTACGTCAAACATGCTCCTTTTAAAAGTCATGCTTGGTAGCAGCTGGAAGAATTTGCATTTGCTCTGACAAGTCTGTAAAAAAGCCCGACTTTTAAACTTCTAAATGCCATGCAGACAAAAAGAAGTTACACAATGTTCTACTTCGATCCAAGAAAAGCTGAATGATTTTCCAGTTCAAAGTTAGCTTTTAGGAAATCACCTGTGCCCACTTCTGTTTCTGCCCTTTTTATCCGACTGTGTTGAATTATTTACCTCGGATATTGTTTTGTATTTTTTTTTTTCCACTTTTGTCTTTTAAAGTCAGGCGATGCGTGATGGTGTATTGGTAAATGTCTCAGTTGAAATCACATCTTTATCCCCACTGGTTTTACATCTGTTCTTATTTTTTCTATCTTTCTTCAATTGTTTCAAGTTCCAAACGTTTCTCGCATTAACTTGCTTGAACTTTGGCCCGTCCTTCCAGACAGAGGCGGTGTAACTAACACGGTTACCTGGTGATGATGAATCGCTTCTCTCCGTGCTTTTTTCCACATCTCCCTTTTAACGCCTAAAGTCAATTGTTTCATAAGCACAATGATGTACGGTGTGTGTTTAGCGAAGGGCTGCAATTATCTCACTTGATGAGTCTAACATCCAATTTTAAAGTGGAGGATGTGTCCAATTACCGAGGCAATATACGGACCAGCTGGAAACTTCTAATATTTTCCTTCAGTAACCGAGGCAGAACATTGCAAACTCTATATGGCTGCACAAATAACGATGTCGCACTTATTGTATATGACAGCTGCAGATATTTTCAGCCTCGTTTTGCAGCCCACAGAGGATATTTCCTATAAAGCAATGAAATAACCATAACAACATTGGTTCTCACATTATAAAGCAAACAGTAGGCAATCATCTTTTCTTTGGATTCTTGTGGGTAAAGAAGTCTTTAGAACAAGGAAATAATATGGATGCTTTTCTTTCTAACATCCTACATGGTTGAACGAAAACTGACAAGTTGTGGGATTTTGAGGGACCGAGTGCCGTCAGCGTCGACTCGGATCAAACCGTTTGCTGCCTAAAGGCTTCCTTATCATAGATCTTCTCAGTTTCACATGTTGCTGCATGCAGACAACAAGCAGGACAATTAACCGAAGTTTAGGTCAAGTTGTAATGAAAAAAAGTGTGGAGCGCTTTTGCACATCATACTTCACCGAACCCTGTTTCAGTCCAATTATAGCTGCAGATCTTTCGGTGCGACTTCCCACCGGTTTTGCGAATCTTGAGGCTGGAGACCCTCCAGGTGTTTGCCGCCTTCAAACAGGACCTGTGGCAGATTTTAATTAGAACTTGTTGTACCTTTCTTTTAACCATGGCTTCTCCTTGTCAACAAACACCAGGTTTGTAGAGTTTGCATGGATATTTCTTGAAAGATTTTCCCTCTTAGGCTGTGAATCTCTACTTGTTATCCAGGGTTACTATGGGCTTCTGGGTTGTTCCTCTAAATAGTGCCCTACTTGCAAGGCCTGTTAGTTAAAGTCTCTTAATGTTTGCAGTTGTGCCAAACTCTGGTTTTTCAGATGATGGACTGAACATTGTTCTTCGAGGTAGTGCTTCATGACCTGATCCTACTATCTCAATGCAGGCCAAACATTCACATTGTTGAAGTTAATATGACATTGGTCATTATCAGTAACGGCCATTAAAACCTGACATGTAGTTGGTTAAGGTAAAAGCTGAAACCTAAACCTGGGGACCAAGGAGCTTTTGGGACAATATATCTGACTTTACATAAACCCACAAACTGCCAGACATAACAATGACGAAACACAAGAGGTGCCGTTTAGAAAAACTCACCAAACTCTTTTACAAATCTTGACAGAAGCACAACACAACAAACTGTAAGCCACGATACCTATGTAAAATCTTTAGTAAGAAAGAAAGAAAACCGAGGCATGTTTCTGTTTGCTGATATTTTTCTTCTTTCTGTAGCCGTTGCCCAGCTTGTTTCACAAATAACCTGAGCAGTTAGGCAGTGATTGCCTTGTGCACACCGGCAGCCGCCATCTTGATGAAGTGCAGAGCTCCCAGAGAGGTGATCAAACTTCAGTTCATTCTAAATGCGGTTAATTGTGTGGCAAAATGACTGTCCAGGATAGACGGGAGATCAGTAGTGCCATCCCTCAAGCTAGGATGGAATAATTACCATGTCATTTCCAAACATCACTGGGGGATGAATAATCATCTGCAGGCTTTCTGTCTCTCCTCCTCTCGTGTGGAAACAAACCATGATTAGTCTGTCAGATTCAGTCGATGATTACCACAATCAGTTCCAATAATGGCTCTATCTGTTTCATGCCTCTTTGATTTGAATATTGGCTCTTTTTTTTCCAGATCAAGGTGTACAAATCTCAATATCAAAGCCACAAAGGGGGCCGAGAATTCAAAAGGGAGATGATGGACGAGGACCTCGAGAGAGGAGGCAAGTCATCAGGAAGAAGAAGAAGAAAAAAAAAAAAGCAGAATTCCCTGAAGGAAAAGCTGAAAGTTCTCCCCGTTTTGGGAGGCTATCCGTTCTAACTGATCATGCGGAAATGGATTTTGACACGCCGGGGTGATGGCTGGTGCAATTTCTTCACAACTTCTCGAGGTAAGGCTCAAACCGAAACCTTTCAGCCTTTCCTGAATATTGTGCGTCGACCTCGTGGTCTATTGGCTTCAGGATGAGTTCAAAGAGAATTACGCATTCAGAATCCCGTTGACTTGTTTCTGAAGACGCACCTTCAACAGAAGAAATGAGGGAATGGACCAATGGATTCCCTAATGGGATCTTTTCAAATTCACCACCAACTGCCTTAAAAATGCATTACCGTTATTATTCTTATTTTGGGTACAGAATCACTAGAGAACTGGTGAGAGGACTGATGATGCGACTTCAGACCGGAGAGGAAGAGCAGAAAGCATTCAGAGGAAGAAGATGGCAAAGAGAACTGCAACACGAGCAGAAGAAAAGGCTTCCTGTATCAGTAATGAAGGTGAAAATGATCTTTATTGATTAGCTGGACAGACAAACGGAGCTGGATTAACTTGGTCATCAGACTTGACTTTAAATGATCCTGAGAAATCATTTCTGTGAATAGTTGCTATAAAAATAAACAGAAATTAATTTCACTTCCTTCATATATATATATAATATTGGATTCATGAGCACAAGATGAGGATAATATTTTTGATCAATTAAAAATGGCCTTTGTTTGTCGTAATACACAAACAATATTTTAACAAATATCTCAGTCCTTCAGTCCGGCTTTTTAACTCCAGATATTGGTGGGGGTTTTTTTTTCTAATTCTAAGATGGTCATAATAATAATAATAATAATAATAATAATAATAATAATGCTCGGCCAGCAGAAACTCTTTTGCAGAAAAGTTGCAGTTCAATGAGCTCAAAACAGGCAGAACTAAACAGGTGAAATCTCTTGATCTGAGACAGATTTTGTGCAAAGAAAGTAATATACATGTTTTTATCCATCCTGACTTATTTGAAAGGAAGAATATCTGTTCACTGTAGAAATACGTCGTTCAGGTTTTATTAGTTTAAGCGTTTTAAATTTCAAACTAGAGACACTCCAATCCAGTCTCAACTATGAAACCTGTTATACTCTGGCACCTGTAGTAACTGCAGCCTGTTGCAGTTTTTATCACAGTGCCTACAAATCATTTGCATTATCATTTCTCTGTTCTACCGTCCAAATAAGACTTTCAAATACCGACGGCATCATGAACTCACCTCTGGGCCTCATTACCAAGACAAAATTTATGAGACAGACTTGACTTTTTGGAGAAATATAATCTTACGCTAATATCCAAAACCTTGTTGTTGTTAAAACCTTGATGTCACTCCTTTGGGCCCAGAGACGATCAACATCGTGGCACCGTGAACAAACCACTTCCTGTTGTGATTGACAGAATTCAACTTGGGAAATCCTCTGCTTCCTATATGAGAAAAAAAGTAAAAAAAAAAATAAAAAAAAAAAGACATAAAAATGTCTAAAATAGTTGGACTATTTGAATTCCATCAAATACACACAGTTGAAAAGCACAAGGTCAATCAAGGAACTCCACAGGGCTGTGTGTCCGGCACATCATTTAGGGGAACCAGCATATTTTATGTTTCTTTTCTTCTTTTTTTTTTTATTATAAAAACTACAACATGGTACTTTCTGTTAACAGATTATGAACGATCCAGTAATTTTTTTTTTATGAACGTGAGCAGGTCCACTTTATTTTATTTTTTATTTTTTCCAAATAATTATGTTATGTATAAATGGCATGAGGTAAAACAAGAAGCATCCATAAATTCGCATTACAAAAATGAAATAAAACTCTGTCACCATTTCTAAATACTTAATACTATTATGAATATACTTAACACTTGTGTATAGGTTACATTGGAAAAGAAAAAGGGAAAAAAATAGACAACAAAGACAGATAATCTGATATATTTGTAAATAATTACAATTTTCATCTTTTCTGTTCTCATGTTCAACATATTCAGGACTAAATATACTTGGAAAATTAAAATAAAGTTAGCATTACACAACTCCAATATATTATAATAATATTACAACGCTGAGAAGGAAAAAAAAAATATTTTTAAAGTCAAAAACAGTTCTGCTTCCGAAGCAGACTGAATGATAATAATATACATTACAAAATGATAATGTCTTCATGTAACCTCCATTGCTCCTGCTCCACTCTCTCACTTTGACTTTGAGGTATTTATCATTCACCTCTCATACCAGCTGAAAATTTGCATTTTGCCGCAGTTGAGATTAATATTCAATGTGATTAAAAATAAAAGAACCATCGCAATAAGATAAAGACATTTAAATAACAGGTTACTTTTTTTTTTAAATGTCAAAGGAAGTAACACATTTTTTTTTTTTTTTTTTTTATAATTTAGTAAAAAATTTTGAAAGTCTTCAGTTGAAAGAGGAAAGAAAGACAACCAAAACTTAAGAAGGTCAAAATCAGTGCTTTACAAGATACTTCATTGTGCATCAGTTTATGTTTCAGTGGGAGAAAAAAAAAAAGCGCGCACACACACACACACACACACACGCACACACACGCACGCACGCACACGCGCTCACTCACACGCACACACTTGCAAACAAACCAGTTGTTTTCAAATCCAATTCTCTTCAAAAGAGTAGCAGGAAGGGGAAAAATGCTATGAAGAGGAGACAGGTGTGAAAGTGTGCCGTCTTCGCACCGCCACTGCCGTCCTGAACTGCTCTCGGTCCTGACAGGAAGGAAGAAAACGGAGGAAATAAAACATTAGAGTTAGTTTCGCAGAGAGACATTGCTTCTTCCACAGTGCTAAAGCTACCGGTGGGTGAATTGTTAGATGAAGCGTCTGTCTGCTGATAACAAATCTGAACATTGTCGGGGAATGAAGCGTACTGTGTGGCGTTGATTAGATATAATACATTGTGGTATTTAAGTTAAGTGTAAACTCAGGTGAGATGGAACGGAAATTGTTTTCCGATCTTTTCTGTCATAATGTTGAACTCCAACATTACCAAGTTCCAACTTGGCAGAGGGGACGCCACACAAAGGTGACAGGGAATCCAAATACTAACAAGTTATAAACCCCGCCGCCCGTTCCTGAGGGCAGCGACTTTCCTCTTGGAGGCAGGGTCAACAACGTTTCGGCAAGCTTGCACGCGTTTAATTTAACTGCCAGAGAGAAACCTGGCACCTCCCCCGCCACACGACGTGTCGACTTTCATCGTTAGCGCAGCTGACGCTCGGAGGGCTTTAAACAGGATCCCCAGGAAGCAGCAGGTCCTCAAAACATCCCAGGGTTTGTCTTCAAAGCTTGCGCCGAACTGGGAGATCTTCTAACTGACAACATTAATGTCTCTCTCGGTCAAGCCGTCATCCAGATGCCTCAAAGCTTCTACTGAAACCAAGAGGAAAAATATATGCTATGTCTCCTCTGAATAACTAAATGTTTGAGCAGCTTGTTAAACCACAGATCACAGCCAACCTCTATGCATCGCCGTGTCTGTACCGGTTTGCCTATTACCCTTAACCGCCCTACGGACGATAGAATATACCCCGATGTGTGTTAAGGCGATCCCTAATCTGGAATTGTGAGACATTTATACCAGAACTCGTACGATGTTAATATCAACACTCTCCAGACTTACAGAGAAACCTTCTGCTTGGCCTAAAACTCTTCCCAACACTTCCTGACAGAGTCTTGGCACAGTCAGTTCTGACTAGAACAAACGTTTCCAACTTGATCATGCTAAAAAAAACATCCAGGATATGTGCTTATTGGCCTTCACACTGCAAACACCCAAAGATGCATGACACGAGGAAAACCTGGTCACTACACTTACAGACGAAACCAGATTCATAGGACAGACGACCAGGCAGTGTCCTTACAGCCCAGTGAGGAACTGGGAGTCAGAAACTCCTCACACCCTTCTGTGGACAGTCTGAACATACACCATCAGGCAAATGGTAACGTAACTTCAAAAGCAGATCTGCCTGAATGCCTCAATCTATTAAGCTGATTTGCTGTTGGGTGTATATTGCACTAAATGTATGAATTCTTGTTTGGTGTTTTCATCCTGCCCTGGGTATTTATGATTTCTCCACCCTCATTTTTGTTGAATCCGGTGAAATGCTGTCCTTTATTTGTACGATATCTGGTACACAAGGATAAATTCACATTATTTGATTACAACAAAATGACTTGTATCTTCAAAGGCAAATGGAATGCAGCATATGGAAACTACATTTACATCCACATTCAAATAATTTTTTATGACATGATATTAAATGAAAGCTGCAGCTGATAGTTGTGCAACAAACATGTAATAGGAAATATAGTATTTTGTGCAAGATCCAATTATTGCTTTTATTTATTTATTTGCTAAAATGAAGAAAAACTTGCAGGGAAAGCACAGCAGAGAAATACATTAAATATATGTTTGTTTAAGGGAGAATGTGCACATTTAAGTTTGGTTATTGTATCAGAACCTGTTACTGTTAACTACATCAGTGTATTCTCTGGAGTAATAAGTTTAGCATGTTTCTGGTTTAAGTTCCAGGAGATTGTTTTTAGGAAACACGTGTATTATATTAGCACAAACAATGTTAGAACAAAATTCTAATTTTTGACATTTCTACAGACATAAATAATAAATATGCTATTGAACACGGGTGCAAACGTATAATCACACTAAATATAGCAACTCTTTCAATCAGACAGCAAATGCAAGACACTTCATCTCCGCTCTGTTGTTGAAAGTGAAGCATAAAATCTGTTGATGATGAACTATCTGAGCACTCCACACCAAAACAATGCAATCACAGATTGCAATGGTGATACACAACAGAAGGTCAGAAGGCCTCGACATCACAGAGAGGCTTATTATTAACTTGCTAATGCCCACAACAATCAGCATCAGCAACAATTTCTGAAGAAAACTGCAAGAGTTACAAAGTTGAATTTCTCTCTGGGATTAATAAAGTATTTTGAATTCAAAATGAACTTCATCCATTTTTATTTTATTTTATTTTGCAATACCTTCAGAGCAAAAGTAAATACTGGTAGGTGTTTTTTGTGTCTCACTCAAAAGACACCTACCAGTATTTACCAGTTTTTTTCTTTTTCTCTGCACATGCAGCAAGGATAGATATTCTGCCAGGCCAGAGTCGGCTGTTTGTTTGTGTAACACTGGGTACTATTTTTAGATTAAAATTAGGCAAATTGCATCATTTCTTTGTATTCATTAGTATGTTTTTGCAGAGCAATCTAGACCTCAAAATCAAGGTGACGTACTTATTACGACGTGACTGTTGCTTTGCAATTATAGAAACCTTTTTATTCATCTCTTTTTTTTTCTTTTGATAAATTAGGTCAATCTAAAAAAAAAATAATAATAATAAAAAAAAATGCCAAACAAACAATGCATTTCGATTGAGGCCAAATTTTTAACTTTGTACTTTGAAGCTTTTGATGTGGTGACTAATCATTTCCCCTGAATTTTCGCTATTCCACAGTATCCTTTGGGGTCTCTTTCCAGTTGCTCCGCCACAGCGGATTATCTCTAATCCTGCATATGGCTTATTAGAATAATTACATTCACTTGTATTTAAAAGAAAATCCATTAATACACTTCTGCTGTCTTAATGAAGTGGCTTTGCTTGCGAGACTCTTCAGCTAGCAGTCACTGCATGTAATAAGTGAGGCGTTTATCTCTGTTTCAGCAGCACATGGTAATCACTTCTAAGACAATTTGTAGACTTTTTACACCCGAGGTGTAGAAAAAAAAAATTGCCATTTAGATTAAATAAACAGTACCAACATCTCCAAATCTGTTTACATTTGCAGGATGCTGTCCACAGTCATGAGGAGTACAGGCATACAGGTTCACTCAAGGACATTATAAATGGTAAAAAAAAAAAAAAAAAAAGATGATGAATACTTACAATGGCAGCATGCAAAAATCAAAATGAAGCCAATGTCACACAGGGCCAGTTAGGTGTGAAAAGGAGAGAGATGAAAGATGATTAAGAAATGGAGTTTGCATTTGCCATTTTCACAATCAGTCACATTACATACACTGACGGCAGTTTGCTTTGACATTTATCCTCATCGTGATTTAAACCCGTCCCACGATCATTAAAACATCTATCTCGTTTAATGAAAAAGGCAGGGATGAAGAAGCATCGAGAGAGCCAAGAGATTCTTTCTTTCTGCTCGCCAAATACAAAAAAAAAAAATACAAAAAAGGGAACTGAGTACAACTGTGAAAATGACAGTATTCAGGGGGTTACCGGCATGCAGTTAATGCTTTCTGAACATTGCCGAAATGCACGCTGGTGTGGAATACTAACCTTGCAGTAGTGTCGAGCTAGTGGGTTCAATTACCACTACATCAGGGAAACAAGTGCAACAGAGACACAAGTTGGAAACAGAACAGCAACACATCATTGAGAATACTTGAGAAAAGCCTGAGAAGCAGGCCTGTGAGAGTTTTCTTTTTACATTCTGCCTGCACCGTCATACCCTCAGGGGTTCAAGCTAAAATATTGCCAGTGCTGGAAGGCCGAGTCACCGGTGGGAACATATCAGCATATTGATTCTCCTTGGCATTTTGTTGATAATTTCACCTTAAAGGGATCCACAATTAGTTGAACAAGTCAGCCTAAATATGTTGTAAGTTGTCTATTAACCAAAAAAAAGGGCTGTTCGTGATACATAAAAACTCGGAATTACTTCAAAAGTTTTATATCTTTCATTATATATTTTTTTGCCTGTGGAAGTCGCCTTTTTTTATTTTTTTATTTTTTACCCTTGCAATGAATGCTGGGTTGATGACGCAGTTTGGGTTCGTTCTGTACTGGAATCTATCGAGTAAACGTAGGGATGCTAAATTTGCCCGAGTTGTTTTTAATCATATTGCGTTTGACTGTTGTAAATTTAGACGATGCCACACTGTGTCACTGTTGGCTGTAAATGAAATGTTGGAAGCACAACATTTCTCTCCAGAAGACCGAGTCATTTGCATGAGCTAAACTAACGAAGGATCTAACAGGTGGTTGTTACCCTTGTGGGTTAAAACCACATGCCGTGCTGATCGTTTTTAGCCACAAATCGACCTAAGCACTGCAGCTAGCAGGCAACGATGGAAGCTTTTTTAAATGATAACGTAGCTGTTGCCACTGCCACTGATACTGAATGTGAAATCATAGACTTGACACCAGAGGACAAGACCTTAAACAAGTGTTACCGGACAATATTTGTTTTTCATTTATAAAAACCAAACACCCTACAGTATTTTCATGGTTTCGTTTTAACATGTAGAATAAATATTTCTCAAATAAAGTCTACTGTTACAACAAATTGTGGATCCCTTTAAATATTAGGTGTTAGCAGGATTTTCAGAAACTCAAGCGATTGCTCTTGAGTTGTGATAGGTCTTGAAAATTGATCTCAACACAAATCAGACTAAAATGAAACATTTTTTTTTCAAATAATTATCCAACATTTTTTACTCTCTTAATGCCAGGCATGGTAGACAAGCACATCAAATACACTGAAGTTACAATATAACAAAATGCGAAAAAGTTAAAAGGCCATGAAAACCTTTGAAAGGCACTGTAAGTGATGGGTTACCAGCACATATTGTGTGTTACTTTGATTCATTTAAATAACTTCCATTGTAAAAGCACAACACTACCTTAACTACTGCTTTGGTGCTAGTAGTATAATAGTATAATTATTCTAGAAAGACAAAACAAAACTTTTTTCTTCAAAAGGAAACACTAAATTATATTTTCTCTTTTAAGGTGAAAATAATAATTGATATTATCCTTTTGTGCAGATATTCACATTTCCATTTCGATATTTGCAAGACTAAATCTCACAGTAAGATTTACTGATAAACTGTCGTTTTCACAAAATGTATGAAAGAAACAAATCAAGTCATATTTTTAGGGTTTTGTAATCAGCCAAAAATCCCCATACGTGTCTTTAAAAGTATCCTAAATTTGAAGAATTTGAACAAAATGTTGCGAGGAGGTGCCGAGTCTGGTGGAGTGTGGGGTGGCCCAGCAGGGAGCCTGGTGCCGACTCCTTTAGAGAACAGATTCAGCAACTCTGCAGCATCTTCCATCTCTACTTTTTAGTTCTCCCCTCTCAGAACTGATGAACCAGCTTAATAAGACAGATGGATTCCAACTGTTCTTTCTAAGAAAGTTCATTAGGAATGTCAATGCCAAAACAAAAAATCCAACTAAATTACAGCACAGTTCAAGAACATTGTAATAATATCCGTCACTGTCCACTAAACCATGTTCAGTTGCCTAAGCTGACCGCTGAAAACAGTTCAACTGTATAGCAGAAGAGCCTAAATTAGTTTTTTTTTTCTTTTTAAACACAATTAAGTGCGACTATTTCTACAAATACTCACCATACAAAAGGAAGTTTGTGTTTGAACTGCCTAGTTTGTTGATGGCAACACATGTGTAGTTCCCATAATCACCATCAGACACGTTATAAAAGGTCAGCTTTGACAGGGATCCCGTGTTGATGATCTCCATGCCATCAAAGCCGTTAAAGATCCTGGAAAGAGAAAGAGTATGTCATACTTTATAAAAAAAAAAAAAAAAAAAAAAAAAAAAAAAGTTTGTCATTGAAATTGGAACCCAAATTCGATAATTTGCAAGTGAGGCAGTGGATTTCTAATCAAGACAACTGGCTAACAGAAATATACGGTTAATTCTTCTCTTCATACTTCCATGTCCTGATTGGGAAAAAAATGTAAATCCTATTGTGATTACCTTCTGTTGTCTTTATACCACTCGAAATCTGCCTCTGGCACTGCGTCGGCCTCACACTCCAGCACTCCTCTCTGACCCGGAGTCACTCCAGCATCTCTGCCCTCTGACACGCTCGGAGCGTCTACAAGGAGACGGCAGGAGATAGAGGAGCCGCTTTGGCAAGTGCAGGGCAGCACAAAGTTCAGCTTATCGGGACACAGAAGTCGTGGTTCTCCTATCTCTGCCTGGGCTTTAAGCATAAGTGTAATCTGTACAACACTTATGTACAACGTTAAATTTAGTGGTACCTCTGGAAAAAAGTACCCAAAATTTTAGATTAACTGTTTATTGCAGTACGCAATTATCACGTTTTAGAACATTTCAACCTTTAGTTCAAGTATATTTAATTTAGAAAGAAAACGAGGGGACAGAAAATGTCCTTGACATAATCTCAGATCCTTCAAAGCAGCTGTTAACCAGTTTTAGCCTCGTCTGACCACAGAAACAAATCTTCACAAGATGCCAAGAGTCACTAAGTCTTGAAAAAGGTTGAAAAGATTGAATATTTAAACAGGTGCCTCTCGAAGAGGCACCTACTTAAATAGATCTATAAAGTGAATAAATAGATCTCACTATAAAGTGAGTTTTAAGCCAGACTTTGAAGAACAGGATGAATTGGACAAATATGGAACGTTTTTGCGTCTATTCTAAAAGCTCAGCAGTGGCAATTTGTACGAGCCACAGTCTGGATGTTTCACCTACTTATCCCAGAATGAAGTGCCGCAATAATCAAGTCTAGATGAAATAACACACGAGTGACCTTTTTCTAAATCTGCAGCAGGTAGAAAAGACTGAAGTCTAAGCTTGTCTGCCTGAGCTGTACTAAGCAGGACTGCACCTGGACTGTGGAACATGAAACAAAAAGGCTATGAATTGAAAAATAACACAAAATTAACCAGATAATAAATCAGTCTTCAGCAGGAAAAGGTTTTAAATGTCAGTACAGCTGGGATCAAAAATATAGCAGTGCCACCAGGGTTTAATGGGACACAAAATTAAGAATTATCTTCGAAGCAAAGAGAACTTATGGCACATCTTTGGGGGAATTAACAGATTGCATGACAGGAATTATATTTAGGTTAACAGTTTTGAGTCTCCTGTGCAAATGTGTAATGTTTGAATCGCTTTTGGGGGTTTGATATTTGAATCTTCAAATATAATTTATGTCTTTTGAAGATGTTGAATTATTTTTCACATCTCATTGTCAGGAAAGTTGATAAAAATTCAAAGCACATAACACTGGATAAATATATCTGTTTGCGCATGTGGCCTGGGTGTACGGATTATTTCAAATTACATCACTTTATGAATCTAAAAGGGATATTAAATGTTGCTTAGACACATAATATCCAAGGTTCTCCTGCAGAAGTCTGTATTGCAGCAAGTCTGAAGAAGCCTCTGACTGAAGACTCTGTGGTTGCAAAGCAGCCTCAAAAAGAGGATGTTCAGAGTTGTCAATAATTTTACATAAAAGATATCCAGCATCTTTTTAAAATAAATGTCGATACAAACACATATGTAAAGAACTTCTCTCATTAGGTTGCTTGTTAAAAAAAAAAGAAAAGAAAATAAAGCTTAAATTTTAACTGTTTAGTTTTTGTTTGTTAGTTTTATTTTTGCCTCCATTAAGAAGTTTTAATTTCTCAGCTATTTTGTTGCTGTGCTAACGCTAAGTGGTGCTACAACATTTAAAAGAATTAAAGCTTAAGTTTCTATGTTGTAAATTTTCCTTCTGTCAACATTTCTGTTAGAATATCAACAATGGAAAGAGTTTCTTAGCCTGCTAATTTAAATGACCAGCTTGTTCAAGCTTCCTCCAGTAGCAAACTGTAACACAGTGCTAGCCCTGTCTTTGTCCATTAGGTAGCAAATGAAGACGGTATTTTAGCAGTGTGAGTGTTACTTCAGCTATCTATATCAGTCAACATTTTTGTTACTCACTAATTCTCTAGCTTCCCTGTAGCAGCAAACTGTGATGTTGTGCTAAAGCTAGCTTGAGTTATTTTTCACCTTCATGTTGTGGCTAAAACTAATTCAGCGCCACTGCTAGCCTGTTCAGGAGCAGTAAAAATAACACAACTATTTTAACTGTGCTCATTTTGTTATTGTCATCTGTGTTGCTGCTTTGATTTTTTTTTTTTTTTGTTGGAATCTTGTCCACATGAAGCCTGCTAGCCAGGGGTGGACTGGCAAATGACCGGAGATTTCCCTGATGGGCTGGTGCTTTATCCCGTGGAGGAGCTGTCACGCTCACTCTGGAGTCAGGCGGCATTGTGCCGTCGTTGTGCAGCGGCACGATGCCTCAAACTATGCCACATATCACACCCCTCCTCTACCTCTACCTTTGCTCCAGTCAGGCAGATCTCAGCGCGAGTAGACCTGCAAAACAGATGAACGAGCGCTACAGGGCCGGCCGGTTGACCATGAACGTGGAGAACAGAAAAAAGTCGTCCCATAAAGCCCGGCCTAAGAAACAAATAGTCTTTGTGACGCTTATTAAAAACTCAACAGTGACGAAACAGAAAAGCCTCGTCTCTGCTAGAGCCACATAAATCATGTGTTTGTTAGTGTCTCACATCCGGCACTGAGATGTGCAGTGCCGTGGCTGTGGTTTATTATGCAAGGCCAGCCCAAGGTTGTCTGGGGCCGTAAGCAGAATATGGTTTTGGGGCCCCTCTTCCTGTTAAAAAAAACATCACAACCAGAGGAGAGGGGACAAGATTAACTGCCCACGCTTTAAAGCTTAATTGCTGAGATGCATTTGGTGGCAAAAACAAACTCAAACATTAAGATTAAACTCATAGCATCAGATTGTAGCTATGGGAACAACAATCAAGCTACAGATAACATTAAATAAGTCCACATCTCAAGTGAAGATGGAGGAGCAAAAGCAAACTACAAACCGAAAGGTGAAAAGTTGTGAATGAACACTTTCATTTTCACTTGTACTATATTAACATTAAAGGACCATTTTAATATTAAAATGTCAAGCAAACAGTTGGAGGTGTTGCTGGCACATCAAGCTGCTGCTGCTTTCTTAGTATTCAAGGCTCTCCAGTTCTGCTACTGGTCACATTGAGCATTTTGTGACCATTTGTTCCTTTTGCATTTATCGAACAGCTCATATTTCCAATGAAACCTATTTTGGGAGGTCCAATATGAAATCATGAATTATGCAGGCCGTACAGACATCAAGCCTTCGTTGAGAACCCGCATCTTCAGTGCTGCCATGCTGACGACAGTGACAGGCCGTCTTCTGCTCACCGCGCCGCAGGAATATTTCTCCAGTGTCTTGTCAAGGATTCCTTCGTCGTGTTGGTATTGATCACTGACCTCATTCCAGTCAGGCTTTACCAAGCTCAACGGCCTATTTCTTCTCAAATCTGCACTTTTTTTTTCTTTTTGCATAATTCTTAATATGCAGGCTTACATTTTCTTCATTATTATAAAGAAAATCATAATATTAGTATTACTCTAATCGGAATATTTTCCAATCAGAATGTTATACAGTTTATACTGTTATAAATCATCAAAATGTTAATTAGTTTGAATTAACTTCCTTCCTTCCTTTCATTCCTTCTTTCTTTCTAACGCTGCTTACTTAATTGGTGGTCTAAAAACAAAATCGGTAAAATCATAATTTAAATCATAAGTCGGGTGCCCTTCGGACTCAGCCCAATAACTAAAGTCAACCAGTGAAGTTGGATCGGACTCGAGCCAGGTTGGATTTTTTAGGCCCGATCTAAACTCTATTTATCGATGCCAATAATTTTGACCATAAAATGCAATTATTTCTGTATCACATAAATAAGATTGACGCAAGAGTGCATAGAGTACATTCAAACTTCAACCTGTGCTTCTATGCACTGACGTCTTTGACCTCAGAGTGTGACCCCAGGATTTAGCCATAGTTTTGCCACGTTAAAGACTATGTGGCAAAATTAAGAAGGAAGTATCAGTAGATACAATTCAATTAACTTAAAAAAAAAACTAACTATTACATAAAGTCAAATAATTAGTAAGCATTCTTCTAATATAGCTAAAACACAGAATTTTAATACATCATCTAATGCCTAAATAACTCAATAATGCATTCGTGAGGAATAATTGAAATGAGCGAGCAAACACTCGGAGCAGATATTCTGCATTTTGGACTCACAGTTGACAGTGATGTCTACAGTCTGAACGTCCGTGTCGATATCATTGACGGCCGTGCATTCGTAAACCCCGGCTCTCTGTCTGGAGATGGATGAGATTTCCAGCAGCTCATCGTCTGAAGCCAGGTCCCCTGCGAAAGATCACACACAGAGCGGAGAGGGGCATTAACAGTTAATATGACGAGTCAACATCTGTGGCCTCGTTTGGCGTGGCGTCTCCTCACGTTGTCGGACGATAGAAGGAGGAAGGTGTTGATTACAGAGGCTAATGGATAGTTTGTAAAACTCTGTGATTCATCATTTCTTCCTTGTTGCCCTTGCCCGACAACAGTGGTCGTTCGGATGCTTCGTAAATCGCAGTGAGCCTCCCACCATCAAAACACCAGGATTTCAGCCGAGTAACGGCGGTGTGTTGAGGTGTCTCCCACGGACGGACAACAGCAATTTGATCCGACATGACCAGACACATTCTGTGCATGTTGAAGCTTCAAACCGGTAAATATCGTGACATATGCCCACTTCTGTCTGCCTCTCATACACGTTGTATTGTCTCTTTCGACACTTACAAAGAGGTTTCTTGAGCACATTGACATTTTCAGAGTACGACTCGTGATTAGCGCTTTGTTCGGCCCCCTCTCATCATTCCTCGTCTGCCAAAACGTCCATATTAGTCTCCTTTTTACTCCGTCTCTTATGCCTGCAAGCACCTGAGTCTGCTATTGAGATATATGAGAAAGTGAAAATACCAGATCTGGTTCTTTTACTGCCATCAACAGGAATGTGCTTGACACAGAGACTTAAACACAGCATTCAGTGCAGAAAACAAAAAGCCATAATTGACACGACGTTCCCTCCGAAGACGTTAAAAGTGACTAATAAAATGCTCACAGACTCACTCGGCTGGGTTTGAGTACATTACTGAATTGCACCTGGGAAGGCTGTTAAGAGGAAGGAAAGTCTCCGTGACACTCGTCACCTGACGAGAGGCACCAGGAGGGCCGGTGCTTTAAAGGTGTGCACATTTCAGCTTCACTTTTCCTCGCTGGGATTTATAGTATTATTAAGTCACCAGCAGAGACCATAATGTCTGTTAAAGACACGGTAAAACCTCAGCGGACAGCTAATCATGATAAGGCTGAGGAGCTGAATTCCTGCCAGGTCCTGCAGCCAAAGCATATGTCTGACATGTTAACAGCGTGCATAAATCACAGCTCACTTGGCCCACTGGTTTGAGAATTATAGTGCGGTTCTATAAAACAAAAACACACACAAAATATCTGTTTTTTTGTTGTTGTTTTTTTGGGGTTTTTTTTTGCAAATACATTTAAAGTAAATATAACCCTCATAAAAACCGAGACACAGAAATTCGTCATCCCGGTGAAAAGCTAAACATTACCCATCCGACAATAAGTAAAACAAAAGATTTAAAAATGTCAACACTTAAAAGATATCACTAATATAATGAAAATAGAACATAAAGAGTTGAAAATAGTGTTTTTTTTAATCTCCTGAACCTAAAAAAAAAATGCATCAACTCTGATGCTGTTGTCATTAAATCTGTACTTTTTCCTCACAGTCTCTGTTTCTCTACCTTCCTCTAGAGAAAGAGGCTCCTCCTGTAAACAGTGTTTTATTCCTCTCTCTGCCTTTTGGTGTTTGCATTTTCATTTTAATTTTGCGCAGCCCCCCCTAAATAAAAAAAAAAAAGAAGAGATCCACACCAAAATCCAAAATGTGTGTTTTCAACGCTAACCGAGGTGATCACACCGAAGCCTGAACTTCTTTGTCAGTCTCACTGTGACTATCCTAAAAGCTGCTGCTTGCACTTTTTTCATCCCTTCCCCCTTCCTGGGACTCACAGGCATCATGACAAACACAGTTTGCATTTAAAATGTTGCCTGAAGAACCTCAGCTTCCTCGCGCTCTTAGTTGACGTAGATTTGCCAGGCGTGTAACATTTCCGGGCTCATCTGTGTGTGCACACGTTGGAAAGGTCTTCCCAGCCGTCTCATGGCTGAGTGTGTAACCGACACTGACCTCTGCGCAATGAGCCCAGGTTCAGTGCATTCTTTCTGGGTTTTTTTTTTTTTGCATGGACAATTTCAATTTTTGTTTGTTTCAGATTAAGATCCTTGTAGCCAGAGAAGTCACATTATGGTGTTTTCACATCGAAGCCACAGAACCAAAAGTGTTACAATAAATGTCTTGGTGCAATGCCAGCCAAGCAAACCAAGAAACCTAGTCCAGTATAAAGCAGTCCATAATATTCATGTTCATTTCTCCTGCAGTTTGCTTACGCTTTTAATTACCTTTCAATATATTTTCATCAACCTTGAGTTGTGTATCTACACACACCTGAACACCAGTTGATTTGATATAGAGAGTATGCTGGTTAGAATGACTTTGCAATGTTTCGTGGAGTTTTACCAAATAAGTAAAAAAAAAAAAAAAAAAGAAGAAGAAGAAGAATTTTAAGTCACTTTAACTTATGGGAAATCTCAGCTGATTGTTGGTTTTTGATCACTTTAAATTGTCTCAGAATAAAGCTCTATCACCCACTTACTATAAATGCCTGCAGCACCAGCCAACATTCAGAAAAATACAAAGAAAAAAAAAAAAGAAACATTTCCCCACAGTCAAAAACAACTTGGATTCTACTTGCATTTTCAGCAGCGATGCAAAGCTACCCTTGACTTTCAGTGGCTTAGTCTTTGTTAAATAGAACTTCTGGCTTTGTGGCCTATTCATTAGCGCGAAGAGTACTTTGTCCTACGCTGCCATCAAAGTGACATGGCAGGTCATCGGGGAGACCACACAGAAGAAGGTTTCCAGAAGAAGAAAGCAGAGAGAGGAGGGATGTCTCAGGAGAGGCTGGGCAGACGATAATGTACCCTCTCTGTGTCCCTGAAATGCTATGTTCAAACTCAAGGGCAAAGAAGAAAATGGGGTAGAAAATGGAAAGCGACAAAGACATTTGGGCGCAGGGCAAGGTGAGCAAGTTAGTGGGGAGGACAGTGAGAGCAGACGCTTGAGGGATGCGTGCATTTCAGGAAAGCGTGTGGAGACACAAAGGGGGTAGATTCAAATTGATGAACTGAAGCAGGCAGGGAAAAGGAAATTGAAGTAGAATATAGCAGATAGGATTTGCTTAGACGCCAGCAAGCGTGAGCCACGACAAACTGGGAATCAAAAAGCTGTAAACCGGCTTGCTCGTGAGCGAAAGGTCACTGAGTGAAGAGCTTTAGAAGAAGAGGTGGCGACGGCGCCACGCACGCTTAGGCTGTTTTGACTTGGAATAAAAAATAAAAAAAAAGAAAGTCTACAGTATTGAAATGAAGCACAAGAGAAGAGAAAGCACAAACAAGCCACCCATCAAATGAGTTTAACTCTTAAATCATGCCTGGGTGAGATGCGAGTATACATGTGCTTCTGCTGAATATCAGCCGTCAGCATAAGGAATTTCCTAATTTGCCAGGGCCCTTTTGATGTTTTTTTTTTTTCCCCTCCCTTTGAAGAAACCAAGCATAAAGAGATTGAGAGAGGAAAAAATAGAATCTTGGTAGCTCTGGGTCTGTGTCACCATGAAACAAGGCAGCTTGATGTTTTCTGAAACAGCTGCTAGCTCAGAGTATCTGCTGGAAATACAGATTTGGCTTGTCAATAGCTTTCACACTGTTTTGTAACGTATTGTAAGCAGTGTTGTGAAACGAAAGGATGCAACGTTTGTAGAGACAGGCTTAGAGCAGAATCGTTTGGGAAGTCTAAATGATTAATATAAGATGCTTATTGGAGCCTGAAAGCCACGCGTCTGGGTAAGGAAGCTCAGGCTACGTTTGCACGAGACCGCGGTCTGGAAACTGATGTCGATTAGGGAAAGGCCTCCATGTAACGAGAAAACCACCAAAACATGTTGACTGTCTTGTAGTTATTAGGCCAGGACACGAGGTGGTGCTGTGATTTTAGCATGACTTTTGGCTTTTAGCTTCCATTTCACCTGGAAAACAGTAAAGGCTCAACACACGAGCAACAAACAGGAGCAAAAGACCAACATTTCCATCACTGATTAGCATTGAGGCTAATTTTTAGCATCAGATCGCTGGGTTCCAATCGACAGGCACACTTTGGCAGGCCCCGTTTAAATTTCTTCAGAAACTTTCAAGTTTTCATTAATGCGAGATGATATCATCTGAGCATTTCTATTCTACACTTTCCTTCATACTTTATATAACGTTGACTAAACTGTTTGTTTAGAAGTATAAGGAATACTATCACAGCACCAAGCATGGCGGCAAAAGTAACTTATTGCTGATCTGTAAGATTCGTTAACCTTAATCTCAGATTTTTAGTAAGCAGATCTTTCTGCCGCATGTGATATTTATTTTATTACACTTTATTTACAAAGTGTTTCATTCTATTATTTACTTTTAATACTTTTAATTGATCCCATTTCAGATGTCTGTGAAGTGTTTCACTTCATGGGATGCCCTCTAAATAACACACAAAAATGAACCTTTTATTTGTTTCATTTCTTAATTGCTTTTCAGGGCTGAACATTTATTTTAAAAAAGCATTTTAGAAAAACAGACAGAAGGTAAAATTGATCAGAGTTAATTAATCAAAACCCTTTTTTTTTTTTAAACTTCATTTTCAGGGCCACGAAAAAAAAAGTTAAACTTTTATGAATTAAAAAAAAAAAAAAAAAAAAAAAAAGCATCTCAGATTGCTTCGGTTAAAAAGAGAACTATCTCGAAATCTTCCAAAAAGTTATAAGGTCAGTTTAATTATCTTTTTTTTTTTTTTTGTCACTGCTAGAAAACGTCTTGCCCTTCAGAGCCCCCATAGTTATCAACAAGACCCGCAAACGTTTCTTTTTCTCAACATGGGGAAAGAAAGCTGGAGGATTTTGAATCTAAACCATCTTTTACTGTCCCTCAGAAGAAGAAGAAAAAGAAGCGGGCACATATCCTCAGACGTCCATAAGAAGATTAAAGCAGTATTTGAGTTTCTGAAAAGCCTCCAGGAGAATGTCAATAAATTCCATTTTATCATCTTCTGCTGCTAATGCTTTGTAAATAAGAGCATCCACTGATTTTAGCTCTGTTTGCCAGAGCGTTCCTTGCTGCTTTTCGGG